ACCATATGCATAAATTATGCATTTTTAGCATAAAACAGTGCTGTATCCAGGTAACTGTTATGTTGTTTAAAAATAAATACGGAAAAATGCCGTATGGATCCTTAGGCATTGAAGCGCAGGGTCTGTCTGCTTGCAAAGTAGAAACAATGTTTCTCAAGGCTTCAGGAACCTTTGCATCTCAGCCTATCTCTCCATCTCTTACTCTGAGGGGTAAGTGCTGTTGTTGATTTCAGTGGAGAGTACTAATATAGCATTCTAATCTTCAGGCATTGATGTCTCTGCTTGCTGCAGAAGGAGGTATATACTATTGGAGTTTACAGAGGGGAAAATCCTGGAACTCTCCTAAATGTGTCAGAGGTTCAAACTTCTGCAATTTCTCTCTGCAGTTATTTTGTTTGATGCCTGTTGTTGATACTTTTATCAGTAAGTACTCTGCATGCAAAAGTACTCTGTATGCAAAATCTTTTGTTAACTATATATTTCAGGTTGGATTATTTGTCTGTGATTTTTAATGTGGAAAAAAAAATTTAGTTTATGTTTTCTTTCCAGGGTATTTTAAAATATTTAAAGTAACTGTGAAAGTCAAAAGCCCTGGATGTAGCTTATTGAAATTTTTCTAAGTCGTTTGGGCATCTTTTGTGGAAGGGACATAATAATACACAACATAAACTCTATGAATGTGTAGATAATTTTTAAATGTACATAATTGACATCTTAGCATTCCTAATGCTCTTACATCTGCCATTCTTGTTTGTTAATTCTGAAGACTAGTGCTAGAAATACTAGAAGGTGATTTTCAAGTGTTAGACAATGTCTGTCTGGGTCTAGTAACTGAGTTTCCAAAGTTTTGTGTAAGGATCACATGTTAAGTGGCCAAGAACTTGGCTGATATCCATAATATTAAAACTACTGTTGATCTTAATGAGTGGTGACCAATGCAACAGCAATTGTCAGTAAAAACTGAGTAGTAAGACACTTTTTATCCAATCTTATTGAGATGTCTGCCTTTTTTTTTTCCTCCTCCTTTCCCTCTTCTTATTTACATCTCCAGTTTTAGTTTGTAGCTGTGAAAGGTACTTTGTACTGCTTGGCTTAAAAATAAATAAGTAATACTTTGAGTTGTACCTTGGCACTCCTTCCTAAATAACTGAACATCTTCTCTCAAAACTCTCCTCTAGTTTGTTTAATACTATGAAGAAATTCTGCAGTGAGCTTGATCCTTTCTAGAAAAGAGTTGTTGAATTTGTTGATAGAGTGAATGTTGTTCTAAATAATTCTAATAGTTAGGAGAGGGGAGTCTTTTCAGTAGTAAAGGGGAGAAAAATATCTGATTAATCTGGAGACCAGCTGAACATACTGCTTTGAAAACTCTGGAATCATTCATCAAATCAGTCAACATTGGTTTTCTGAAGGATTTTTAGTATGCTTATCAAAGCAGTAATTTGTGCTTTGTGAGGACATCTGGAGTACTAGCACTGGCCAGTCAAGCAGCTGAACATGTTGTTCAACTACCAGGGTGATTGCACAGTCTCCATTCTTGGAGCTTTTCCAGGCCAGACTGAATAAAACTTTGAGTGATACAGTCTGACCCCATAATTGACTCTCTTTTGAGTAGGTGAACTCCTGAGCCCTTGTAGTCCACAATCATCCAGTGATCTGATGATTCTGCTATGGAAGATCTAGAAATAAGTTAATTCAGTACCTGCATTCCATAGTCTCACTTGAACATAATAGCATGAGGCACTTGGTTCAGCTCATCAGCTTTGAGCAGAAGATCTCAGGTGAAACTGTTGTGTGCCTCTATCTGAGCAGCCTGGTTTGGAACAAGAGACTTAGATTTCTTTTATATGGAAGTGATGGCTTTCACTCTTTTACGGGATAAGGAATAGTCTTCCAAAAAATTCTATCCACAGAGCTGATTACATGTGTGCAACTGAGGCTAGAAAACCCATTTTTCTGTGTATGGAGATACAGTGCATTCAGTATCATTCTTTAAGCACAGGAAGAGAGAGATTCTCAGCATACACAAAGGCTTTTGTGTGTCTCAGTTTAAATGAACAGTGAAAGCACCATCACTTGTGTAGATAAGCAGGGGGTCAAATAGGGCTTGACTGAAGAGCTTTTTAGCCACAAAAGTAAGGGAATGGACTGTCACATTAAAGCATTTCTACCTGCCACATGCTTGATGCAGAAAGAAACATGACTACAAACAAAATGTTCTTACATTATACTGTCAGAAGTCTATTTTTTGCTACTCTTATTCTGACAGGATAACTTGTGGACTACTGTCAGTGGAGGAATTGAAGATAGAGGAAAGTTTGATCAAGCATAAGGTTATGTGCATTTTTCCATTATGGTTTAAGAAACACAAAAATGCCATACAAATCATGGGAAATGCTTTGGCAGGGGATTTCAAACCTTTGCAACTGATCTGTATCTATTACTTAAAATCCTTTTGCCTTCTACATGTGAAAATACTTCTATTTGCAAACTATATGAAGGTTAAAAATTGTTAGTTTTTATCCATGATAACACCAGGGGTTATTTACCTGTTTAATGGCACATCTGGCCTTCTAGCTTGAAGTCAGTGGAGTTATTACTCAGTATGTAAGGACTGGTCTGTGCTTTGAGAAAGGAAATACAGTGTACTTGTCCATCAAACTGAGGAGATGTTGGTGGGGTGTTGCTGTATTTCCTTTTTAGTCTCCTCTGGTTTGGATCAGGTGACAACATGTACAAGGCTACATGAACAGCCTCGTAGTATTTTGTTGTTACACTGTGTGATTTCAACTGTTCTGAGCATGAAATCTTCCACAGAGTCAATAATGAACTTGCCACCTCGCCTCTTGCATTACCAGCAAATGCAGCATCCTGTGTGTGATGTTGCTAGACCAAGTCTGATAGTATCTGTCTCTTATTGCCTCATTAGCTCGTGAGCATTAGAACAAGATAAAAATGCTCTAAAGCCTCTTATCTGATGATTGTCATAACCTTCCAAGTGCCATTAGTTTAAGTTTGCAATCAAATGCTTCCCCTGCGTATAAGGAACACTGATTAAACCCAGAGCATCCCCAGGGGCCATTACAGCTGAAGGAGAAGGGGGGCTGCAGGCCCCGGCGGGCGGTCGGCCTGCGGGCCTGCACGTGGCTGCCCCAGCTGTTCCGCTTTGCCTAATGAATTGTTTTACAAGGAGGGGCTGGATATTGTCATCACAAGCTGCCTTCCCGAGGGACTGCAGCCAGCCTGATAATGACTAATGTTAGTGATAGTAATTGAAGTGTGATGGCTCTCCAGGGACCAGCACACGCGTAGAACTGTCAGGCACTTGTGGCTGGTTCAGTCCTGTGAATACCCCTGAAATGCTTTTTAATTGCTTGACTTTCATAACTAGTTCCCATATATCTCCTGCAGAAATATATGTTTTAAGGGGGGAGGGAAAGGAATGGAGGACTCTGCTCTGATTCTCACTTAGCACGCTGTGTTTATTGCTGCGATGTGCTGCTACTGAGAATGGCTGTTCTTCCTTTTCTCCATTCTCAGTCTGAGTCTGCTCTATGTCTCTACACAGCTGATTGCACCTGAACTTATCTTTTCTTTAATGTCTAAGCCCTGTCTTCTGTAATACTGATCCTTCACGTATGGAAGTTTAGTTTGGCTATAATGAAGCGTAGTGGATCAAAGTGTCAAAATGATAGCTATTTGCATTTTGTTACGCACTGAGATCTGGATGTAAGGTAGAAAGGCAATCTTGTAATAACATACTATATTTATCTGTGTCCTAGCAGAGCTAGTGTTTATGGCTAGGAACTTTTGAGGGGTTAGGATAGAGAGCAGACCAATCTACGTGGCACAGCATGAAAACTTTCTGATTGATTCTGGGAATTAATTATTGAATGTATCAGTGGGTTTGAGGTAAAATTATGGTGGCTGCTCCAAAAGCAGTGTTTATTTTATGATGTTGGCCCACGAGGTCAGAAGTGGATGTTGGTGGTATGGCAGTAGAGGTTGAATCTTCCTGCCACTGTGGTCCTACACTACATCCTTATCTCTAAATTGGAGAGTGATGAGTTTGAAGGCTGCACTACTGGGTGGATGAAGTATTGGTTCAGTAGGCACAGCCAGAGGGTTGTTGTCAGTGATTCTATGTCCAGGTGGAGGTGTCACGAGGTTTTGCAGGATCAAGTGCAAGGTGTTGCAGTTGTGTCAAGGCAATCCTAGGTATAAGTACAGACTAAGAAAAGAACTCCTTCAGAGCAGCCCTGCTAAAAAGGGCTTGGGGCTCCTGATGGACAGAAAGCTGGACATAAACCAGCAGTGTGCGCTTGCAGCCCAGAATGCCAGTGGTATCCTGGGCTGCATCAAAACAGGGGTGGCCAGCAGGGAGAGGGATGTGATTGTCTCCCTGTACTTTACCCTTATAAGGCCCAATCTGCCATTCTGTGTCTATGCCTGACAATATGGTGTCTGACATGGAAGTGTGGATGGGAACAAAGATGTGTCATCTAATTCCTGTATTTGGAAAAAGTTGCACCCACTGACATTTATTGACACTTACTGAATGTTTATGGAACAGTGAACACAAGCTTACTGGGTAGTGTGTTTCAGCAGTGGTGGCAGCAGTGTGAGACAGAAACCATATTCTAGATGGCCAGGTAGATTTTCATGAGCACTGCGTGCAGGGTCTTGTTCATTGCTGGCAGAAATGCACAGCTAACAGTGTTGACTATGTTGAATGTTAGTGTTTTGTAGCTGAGAATTTGCTTTATCAAACAGTGTTATTGTGCTCTTTGTATCTGTTGCAATTTTCATGGAAATAAATAGGAAGTATTACTTTTGGAGCATCCTATGTGTGTGAGAGGTAGAGCTGCAGGATAATAGCTTTTAGTTTTTCATTTTTATTTTAAAGTGCTGTGTTGGAATTGCCAAATAAAGCTTGTTAGATCAGAAGGATGTTTTCTGCCAGAAATAATGTAGGTCACAACAGGTCTCCTCTGTTTCAGTGCCGGCTGAGACAAAGGAATAATGCAATTCACATTGCTACAACTTGGGGAAGCTGTGAAGAGAGAGCTGAATGACCAAGGAGGAAAGCTTGGAAATGACATGGGTAAAGGGAGACCCTGCCTCTTTTTTGTATTTTCTCTAGGAATGAAATAGGAAATAGAAAACATTTTCTCCACTATAGTTGTAAAGAATGCTTGGAAGTATATATTTGCCTAATACATAGTAATTGCAGAATAGTGAGATATCCTGTATGACAGCTGGGCTGTTGTTTACAGTAGACTATCTGTTGTGCATGCTTGTGGCTGCTGGGTTAGTTATCCAGATATGAATCCAGCAGATCATAGTTCCATGTTTTACTATAAAAGTGAAGTTGGAATATTACTTCTGGGCAGTCTGAGTCTTGCAGAGTTTGTGCTTCATTCAGGAGGTGAGACAATTCCCCGTCTCTTTATTCTGAGTTTATGTATGTTAGGTTAGATATGAAGCTTTTAAGAAGTCATTTTAGAAAAAGAAGTGGCAGATTATAATTGTGCCTGCAAGATATGAAGAGAAAGCAAATATGTTCACAGCAGTTCTTCTAAAGGAAAAAGATGTGTGAAAATAGATTTGCTTTTTTTTTTTTATGATAGGAAGATCATGAGGCTATGCAGCAGGTATATAGGGTCAGACAATAGGATAGTGATCTTTGGAGAAGGGAAGGAAATGAAACAAATATCTTGTTAAACAAAGAGTTTTAGTACCATCTGTTTTTATAAGAACCATTTTAGCCCAAGTCAACATGAATAACCTTAGTAAATTCAGGACAACTTAAAATAGGTCATACCAATTAATTCCAGCCACTTTATAGATTAAGCAGTGCCAATAGTCTTTTGTTTCTCTTGCTTGCTTGTTACTTTCAGGTGTAGGTATCTGTGATTTCAGGTCTGTGGGCAGTTTTCTGAAAAAGGCTCGGATTTCAAGACAGCATTTCTCTTTGATTTTTAGAACATCTTAGAAAGGGCATTCTCAGAAATACAGCCTGAACACATAGATAGGAAGCTTTGAATTAATTTATTGTCTCAATTCCCTTGCATAAAAACCGTCTTCTAGGGGAAAAAAAAAGTCACATCTGGCTAAAATGAATTAATAGTGGTGGAGATTTTGCAACATATCTTTTTAACAAGTTCTACTTATTGCCAACTTCCATATTAAAAGTACAACTTTTAATTCTACTGTGAATTTGTCTGGGTACTAAGACATTTTGAATGGTCCCCATCTGTACGGGAAGGTTTTGTTGCGGCTTTTTGAGTTCTAACTGGAGATCAAAAAAGGGTGCTTAATGCCTGTGCCAGCAGAGGAAACATACTACTTCTTCTCATCATATTCATCGCAAGTTTGTTTTTCACCTCCCCCTTCCAGTGAAGTGCTTGATCTTAGAAATTTATTTTGGTAATAAAACATTACTTTATACTTCCCCGTGAAAGCATGTTTGAAGGCTGTTTGTGGATTTTTTTAAAAAGTGTCCAAGAGCTTGTTGTTCCCTGGGCACACTGCAAACTTATATCATGGTAAGTCTGATGAATTAACACACAGAAAGTTAGGCTTATAACTGTTAGTGTTAACTTGGGCTCTCAGCACATGGAAGTAGACCTATGGTTCGTGTGCCATGCTTCAGTTTGCTGTCTCCAAATGCTATATTTTATTGGTTGGTTCTGAAAAAATGGGTGACTTTACTCTTCCTGAAACTTTACTGTAATTTTTATTCACAGTGAAAAGAGGTTTAAGATGTATTTAGTACTCTTCACAGCTGTAAGTTGTGACAGTAAAGCTAAATGATGTAGTTCAGTTGCTTTCCTATGTTTTATTGGATTGCTTTTTATTTCAAGTTGAAATGTGGTTTCTGTTTTCTCACTTGAGGTTTTAATCTCTGTTCTAGCCCAGATACCGTTGGTTCTGGTCAGTAGTTGGGGGGAAATTTGGAGGAGCCTGAAGTTGGAATAAGCAGCATTGGGTTGCTGAACTGTTTTCCTGCAGTAGCTCTAGGGGGCTCTCTGCTGTTGGAAATGTTAAATTTCCAGTGAGGTCTATGATAAAGGTCTTAATAACCTGTTGTCATTAAAGTTCTCATAACGCTTTTTTTTTTCTTTCAAATGGTAACCTGATTTTCATCAGCAAAATACAGCATATGCAACTACAAACTAATTTCCTCCATGGTGTCAATTAGAGATTCTCATTTTTATCCTAAACTGTACTCTGCTCTGCATGTAAACTGTTGTCACACAAACTACAGTTGTGTTTATTGTGTATTTGAAGAGCGTGGGAAGTAATTTTTATAAGCTACTACTAGTGCTACCAGCATCAATGTATATGCAAGAAAGACAGGAAATAATTATCCCATCCTTTATTGTAACTATGTGGTTTGTTACTGCAGTAGCCTTAGAAGTATATGGGCTTTGTTATGGGAGCGCTAGAAATGAATGCTTGAGAAAGATGACTAGATGAGACAGCACAGAAGAATGAACAGTAACTTGTAGAGTAATAGGTGTTCACCACCACTTGTTATCAAATGGCGTTTAGAAAGAAGGAATGCATATGTAACACTTTGTTTTTAAATTTGAAACCCTTCCTCTGGGTTTTATGCTGGGCCATGAATCCCATTTCTGTCTTGAGCTCAGTGGATATGCAGCATCAAGGTAGGTTCCACTGGGCATTCTGTATCGGATTCAGTTACACTAAAATGGACTTCCTGATGATCAGTTTGAAGATAAGTCAAGCTGTTTAAGATCGTAATGCTGTGTTCTCTGTTGCAATGCTACAGGAACTGTGCAGGTAAGCCCATTGGTTGGGTGTGTGAACTAATGGAAGCAGCATTGTATAATAATTTAGATGCTAAATGTAGCCAGGGAAGAAATGTTTACTGACGTGATGACAGCAGTTTGCATCTTCTGGAGCAATTGACTTCAATTTTAGGAAGAGTGCTGTATTGCTTTCACTTAGTGTGTTTTGAAAGCTCTCTTCCAATCTGTGAAGACTAAAAATAACTGCAAATTAATTATAGCTTGTGTTCTCCAACACATTTGGGCAGCATTCATTGGATGTCTACTCCAAATGATGCTGCTGTTTTCTGTATGATAAGGAGCTTGTATATTAAGGGAGTGAAAATAATGTAGAGTTTTAAGTGAGCTTCACAATAAGAACATGCACAAACGTTCTGCTCAACCTGCTCAGTGGTGAGTTTGGTCTTATTTATTCTACAGTCATAGCCTGAAATTGCTATTGTGAATTTACTGCTGAAGGGGGAAAAGGTGAAGTACGGAAAAGGTGAAGTAAATTCAGGAGGGGAACAGGTTGTTTTATTTTTGCTGCTATCATTCGCAGTTCCCAAGCAATGAGGCTTGGAGAGCCTGACTATTGGGAGCCACGTCCTGATTAGATGTTGGGACCTGCTGTAAAACCAAGTGATGTCTGCCAGTTGTGCCAGAATTGAATCGTCTTTATGTAGTCGAGGAAAGGTATTTGGAAATCTTGAAAAATGCTCTGAATTACCCTTGTCTGTGTAAAACATAGACTGATAACAATTAATCACTTGATTGCTTCTTGAGTAGTGAAAGATGCTTCTTCCAGAATTTGTTTCCTTATGCAACCTGACTTTAAATACCCGAAACATACAAGTTTTGGTCATAGGAGAATTCAGATGCTCATTCCTGCCAGTATTTTGAATGTTTTGATTGCATGCACTACATCTTTTTGTGTTTGACCGCTGTAACTTGAGAGGAAATCATATATCTTTATTTCAGAGTGCGGGTTGTGCCAGTGTAGCTGAAGTAGGGATGTTAAGTAAGTTTTAATATGCTGTTGAATTTTTTTTACATAATGAACTCTTAAGGAAAGAAAAAAAACATCCAGTTTAGTCTTCCATTACCAACTGTTTTATATTTAAAGTAGCTGTGGTGAGTAAAATTCAGATAGATACAAATTTCAGAAACGACTGCAGAGCTGAAAGGAATAATTGCCTTTTTTTTTTCCCTGATATTTAGTGACAGGATGAGAGGTAAAGGCCTTAAGTTGCGTTTTGGGGGGTTCAGGTTAGATACTAGGAAACGTTTCTTCTCAGAGTGCTGATGCATTGGGATGAGGAAATGGTGGAATCACCATCCCTGGAGGTGTTCAAGAGCAGTGTAGATGCCTCACTGAGGGACATGGTTAGTGGGTGTGGTGGGGATGGGTTGATGGTTGGATGAGATGATCTTAGAGGTCTTTTCCAACCTTAATGATTCTATGGAAGAAAAAAAAAAGCGAATTTTAGCCTTGGTGGCCTTGAATATTCAGAGGGCTGTATATAAGCTTTGTGTTATCAGAAGCTGTATCCTGATTACCTTAAGTAAGTGTATGTGTAAGTTGTCTTACTTCAAGGTCTGCTTTCTATTGATTTCTCCATTTCTCATTTCTACAATAGAGAAGAATGATTTTTTTTTTCTTATTAGCTGTTTTTACTTTCTGGTAATATAGCAGCATCCTTGAGCTTCTGTGTCTTATATGGAAAATGCAGTGGGAGTGTTTGCATTTTTAAAAGTTTCAATTGGAATTACGATAGGAAAAGTGACTTTGAAAGTTTTGGTATTTTGAAAATTTCGAAGAGCTGAATTTATAAAAAAACTTGTATATGTGTTACATGGCAATTGTCTTCAGCGCTACTCTGAATGTTTTATTTATGAAACTTTTCTTTAATATTCTGTTTGTTCATTACTTCATCACAGATTCATAGTGTTGCTTAACCACATAACCTGCCCCATGTAAGGACCTCTTTCTGTGGTTGCAGTGGGTGGCAATGCCTGCTGTCTGAAGAGCTGTTTCGTGAATGCTTGCACGAGGCCCTAAATCTATCGAGCTGGGGTCACTGCTGTGTGTTTCTCAGGCTGAAGCTGCAGGGCCCCCGAATCCCGTGTTTCCTGCTGCTTTCCTGTTAGAATTCTGCATGCCAGACCCGCAGCACCCCGCTCTTTCATGAATGGAATTCAAAAAGACACTTACATTTCCATAAATAAATTAGGAATTCAGTGGCTTCTTCTGGCTAATCAGAGCAGGCTGATAAACCTTGCTAGCTGTTTAATAAATGAATTGTGA